TGCCTAAATGCACTGAGTTGCCGCCATGTGATTGGCTGATTAGAAATTAAGTGTTAACAAGCAGTTGGGCAGGTGTACCTAATAAAGTGGCCGGTGATTGTATATGTATATGTATATGTATATATGTATGGTATATATGTTTCTGTTTGACCACTGCTTTAAAAAAAAATCCAGGAATCAGATTTTCCTCAGTTTGACAGTGAAAATATAATATTTGTGTTTTCTGTGACCAGTGTTCTGAATTGTTTGGTCTCTTCTGGGTTCTGTGACACCATCTGAACTCACCTCAGCACCAGGACCCGTGAAGCGGCTTCTGCTGGGCCTCACTGGGCTGCAGTTCTTAGCTGGTCCACCAGGTGTCACCAACAAGCTGCAGGTCCACACTCTGAGCATCTCCTCACTCAGAACCAGCAGCTGTAGGGGTTCATTTCATTTCTATTAAATGTGGAACATTTATTCTTTTGATCTGAGACTCCGAGTCCTGAGCTGAAGCACCACTGGATGCAGGTCCAGATGATGCACAAAGCTTTGCTCACCTGGACTGGAGGTTTTGGGAGGACTTTGTTAGAAACTATTGGACATGACATGTTGTCAGTGTTCAGGTTCTGGCTGGTCCACTCCAGGACCTTCAGAGTCAGGACCGAATGGGTCAGGTAGCAAAAACTAATAAGCCCCGCCCCTCACACGCACCTCCGTTGTTCACCCTTTTATGTAACAGGGATGAGCAACAACACCTAAAGTCAGTGAATCATCTACAGTTACAACAGAACAAAAAGTCTTTGTCCTGATCAGGACCGGTTCTGGACAGTTCTCTGCAGTCCCGATCAGGACCGGTTCTCTGCAGGTCCTTTTACCTGATGGAACTCTTTTGGTTCTGTTGTTTGTGTTTAGTATTTTTAATGAGTAAAATATCTTCTGAGGGTAAAAGTCTTTAAACATGGCTGTGTTTCCTGAGTGGCTCTGAACCAGAGGGGTTTCTGGGATGTCAGTAGGATGTGTCCATATAAGGGCACGGGGGCGGGGTCTGGCACGTGAAGGGTGGAAAACATCCAGAGGTGGAGTCAGAAAGAGAATAAATGTGTGATGATGAAAGAGCAGCTCTAACTCACACACTGAAACACTAAAGCAGACCGGACCGGATCACAAGTCAACATGCTGCAGACCCTCTGGACCTTCATCCGGGGACACGCTCCCCTCCTGAACTCACCCTTCTTCCCGGTCTTCTTCTCCCTGTCGGTGTACCTGTGCTTCTGCCTGCCCTTTCTGCTGCTGGACATGCTGGCCCCCAGGCTGGTCCTGGTCCGCAGGTTCAAGCTGCAGCCTCAGAGCTCCGTCAGCTGGTCCTCGGCGTGGAGCTGCCTGCTTCTGACCCTCTACAACCACCTGATCTTCATCTTCCCACTCACAATCCTGAACTGGTACCTGAGGCCGGTGCAGCTCCCCGAGGAGGCGCCCCCTCTGCCCCGCCTGCTGGCTCAGGTTCTGGTCTGCCTGCTGCTCTTTGACTTCCAGAGCTTTGCCTGGCACCTGGTGCACCACAAGGTGCCGTGGCTCTACCGCAACTTCCACAAGGTGGGTGAGAAGCTCCATTAGCTGATTTTAGCTGATCTTCAGCTGACATTTAGCTGATTTTCAGCTGATCTTTAGCTCTAACATGTTTTTCTAGTATGAGATGAAGGTTTTGACTGTTGCTCCTCTTCCTCCTGCAGTTGCATCACACCTACACCTCCACCTCGGCTCTGACCACAGAGTACTCGGGGGTCTGGGAGATCCTGAGTCTGAGTGTCTTCGGTGCAGCTAACCCCCTCCTGCTGGGCTGCCACCCCCTCACTGAGATGTGCTTCCACGTCCTGAACATCTGGCTCTCGGTGGAGGACCACTGCGGCTACGACCTGCCCTGGGCCACGCACCGCCTGGTGCCACTGGGTCTGTACGGGGGCGCCCGGCACCACGACCTGCACCATCTCAAGTCCAAGTACAACTTCGCCCCGTACTTCACCCACTGGGACCGGCTGTTTGGGACTCTGTGCACGCAGGCCTGAGAGGACGGACGGTCCCTGAACTCACCTGGAAGGACTCCTGTGGACCCTCAGCTGCAGGGGCTGATGGGAAACCGCCCGATGGACTGAGAGCCAATCAGATAACCAGACTATTGCACATTCCCGAGAGTATTTCAGTATTTATTAACGTTTTTATAACTTGAGCCGGACTCAAACTGTTTCTGTGAAATTTTTATTTATGTTTGAAGAAAAACTGTTCTAGTGGTGTGAATCTGAATAAAATCCAGAAAGTTCTGGTTCTGTTGCTCAGATAATGTTCATATTGAACAGAAATGTTCTGATATATATCAAATATATGGGAGGAAGAGGAGGAGAGTGATCTGACAGGAAGTGAATGTGATGAAGGTTCTCTGTTGGAAACTCGACTGAAATGTAAAATTTATTTATTATTTTTTATAAAATGTCAAGTTTTGCACTGAAGAAAAATAAAACAAAGAAAAATAGTCTGTTTGATTCTTTGTTTTCTGTTAAAAACTGTTTATCATGATGTTGAGTTTTCATGCGACACCTGAACACATCTACACCTCAAACATCTGGATGAAAACAGAAACAAACAGCTGATTTACTGAATTTTTTATAGGATAAACTTCTAGTTAAATGGAAAACAATCAATCAGCTTCTTCAGTGAAAAAAAGCATCTTCAAACTATCCATCCACTTTCTCAGATGGAAACAATACTTTCTGTGACCCTTTTGATATTTCCTGCAGGTTTAATGACGTCTTTTCAAATGTTGGACTCTCTCTTGATAAAAAATGGACTTGTCAAATATCGATCCATTACATTATATAAATGACTCGTTTCCATCATTTTGTCATTTTGATCCACCAGATTCAAATGAAGTAAGGGAAGTATCTCGATTAAAAACATCTGCACCTGGTCATGACGGGAAAAATGCTTCTATTATCAGAGAAGTTACAACAATAATTACTGAACCTTTAACTTTTATTTTTTCACTATGAAAACTGACATAATACCATCAGATCTAAAGACCGTAAAATTCACACCTTTGTATAAAACTGGGGATCAAACCTCATTTTCAAATTATCCATTTTCAATTTTGCAATGTCTCTGAAAGGTCTTAGATAAATTGGTCTACAAAAGGATCGATCAAAAATGACACTTTATACAATTTTCAGTATGGCTTTCACAAAAATCATTCGGCTTGTAAGGCACTTATTGAGCTAACTGATAGAATTCATACAGCCTTAAACAATAATGAATTTGCCATTGGGGTATTTTTAGATATTTTTAAAACATTCGATACAGTCAATGATGAAATTTTGCTTTCAAAACCTTATAAATATGGTTTTAAAGATACTGTACACAAATGGTTTGGTAATTATCTAAGATGCAGAAAATATGTTTTTATTAAGGAGCATGAATCTAGGCTGAACATGATTAAATACGGAGTTCCACAAGGTTCAATGTTGGGACCATTGTTAATTATTTATATAAATGATTTTGCTTCTTTATCTAATTCTACATTTCCATTGCTTTTTGCAGATGATACCAATATTTTTATCTAAAAAAATACTATCAAAATTACATTAAATGTTGCTCTTTATAAGTATTCTAAATGGTTTAAAGCAAACAAATTGTCTTTGAATGTTAAAAAGCCTAGCTTTATTGCATTTGCTGGAAATAAAACATAGTGATGAAATTCAAATTTATATCAGTGATGAAGAAATAACTCAAGTTTCATCAGCAAGTTTTTTAAGGGTCTGGATCGATGAGTAACTTTATTAGAAAGACCATATTAGACATGTCTGCAAAAAAAAAAAGCTAAATCTGTTGGAATCCTAAGCAAAATTGGACATTTTCTTTATAAATCTTGTTTCCTAATCTTATAATGTTTAATATTATAAAATAAAAGAAAAAGCATTTTTCATTACTCAGATTTAGAT